AAGCTACCAGTACCTGGTTTAAGGACCATGGTATCCCTGTTCTTAATTGGCCAGCAAACTCGCCTGACCTTAACCCTATAGAAAATCTATGGGGTATTGTGAAGAGGAAGATGCGATACGCCAGACCCAACAATGCAGAAGAGCTGAAGGCCACTATCAGAGCAACCTGGGCTCTCATAACACCTGAGCAGTGCCACAGACTGATCGACTCTATGCCACGCCACATTGCTGCAGTAATTCAGGCAAAAGGAGCCCCAACTAAGTATTGAGTACATGTTCATACTTTTCATGTTCATACTTTTCAGTTGGCCAATATTTCTAAAAATCCTTTTTTTTGTATTGGTCTTAAGTAATATTCTAATTTTTGGATATACTGAATTTGAGATTTTCATTAGTTCATCATCACAATTAAATGAAATAAACATTTGAAATATATCAGTCTGTGTGTAATGAATGAATATAATGTCAAAGTTTCACTTTTTGAATGGAATTACTGAAATAAATCAACTTTTTGGTGATATATATATATAATTATATGACCAGCACCTGTATATGTAAGGTCAGTGCAATCAGTGCAACAACAAAGTCATTAAAAGTGTGGCTCCGCCTTGACCAGCTGAAACATTTAAATGCAGTTTTAATGTGAATGCCCCAGAAATAATAAAAAATATATATACTTCTTCAGGCATGGTGGTTGTCAAGGCTGGAAACAGGCACATTCAGAATACACGCAGAAAAAAAAATGATTAAGGTAAGAAAGTAAATTTTTGGACTTGTATGACTTGAAGTCTCTTAGGCAACATGTGATACATTTTCCCTTGCTAATTTAACCACTATGCTAATACAGCTAGCTAACCAATGGCTCACAGGGGTGGGGTGGATTTTAACACTTCTTTAAAAAATGTTACAACCCTTCCCTATGCATCAAACTAGAGACTTTTTTTGATGCAGTCTCTGGGCCCACCAAGCCTGCACTCCAGTGTTCATAGCATTGATTTTTCAGCACTAAGACCAGTGCTTCCCATTCACATGTTGTTCACATGTTGCTGTATGTATCAGCACCTGATCTTTTCCCTACTCTGTTTCCACCGGTGTAGAGGGCAGAAAAGAGTAATGGCAGCTTGTGAGAAGTGCCGTTGCGCAAAAAACAGTCCTGGTACACCAGCACAATGTAGAAGTGCCGGTACTGTCGTAGTTCTGATGCTGAACACTCGTGCACACCTCACGTCAACATGCACTACTGGCTGACTTCAAGCACTGACTGTGGCTCTGATTAAGAATATACACAAATTGACACACACACACACACACAGACAGATGGGGGGTTTTTTTACCTAAGAATGTGCAAAGATTTTCTGTGATTAGGTACATTGCAGTAGTTTTTATTAAGTATACTGTTAAGTAAGTTTGTTCTAGTAGACAAATGTACATACACACACACGTGCGCAAGTAATCAGACACAGTCTGTTACAGAGAAAGAGAACATTTTTCTTTTAATTCACTATACCTGTTTTTGAAGCATATCATATGGTGTGGCATCTGAGTTTGCTTCTTTTGTCTTATTGTTACACCTTACCCCGGTAGTGGGGTAGGTTGTAACAAGGGAACACAATGCATTTGACATCGACTCACGAGGTCTGTGATATTCTTGTAGATGATTGGATTGTGCATGTAGATGATGAATTGGTGCCATTTGTAGTAAAAAAAAATGTGGGTACTTTGTATAAACGTTTGAGAACTCTAGCTAAAAAATTCAGCTAGTTAAAGTTGCAGAAGCAAAACGTGTTACAACCACTACTTACTTAAACCTGCACTAAACAATTTGTGGCCACTTGGGGCAGAGCAACACGCTGTAAACACAACACTGACATATTGTCATCTTATTATAATAATTATAAAGTTGTTGACAAACTGTTGCCTATGTTCACATCCATCACGAAGGGAGCAATATTAGCTTTCATTTGAAGTTGCGCTTGTGTCCATCTGATGAATGTCCAATATTCACACTCCTTTTAGCTCTGTTTTTGGTCTCCACCACCTCCTGTGGGAAATGCTCCACTGTGTTCACCAGTTAGTCTCTAACTGTGTCTGTCTGCTGCTGAGCAGGTCCTGCAATGGCTAGAACCAAAGTCAATGAGAATGTAAATGCTCTGTATAGCGCTTTTCTAGAATCGCACTTAGTAGGAATACGATATGGCTACAAACTGTATGCACTACAACTCTTAGGAAAATGTCAAATTTGTTCTCTAAGCTAATGCAGACATACTTGTTTGCTTTGTTTGGGAATCAATTGAATCTCAAAATAATAATGTTAATCACAACAAATCTTGACAGCAGTGAGTAGAAGGATTACACCGGCTAAAATCTGCAAGTAGTCGTTTTCCTTTCATGTCAGGCACAGCCAAGGAAATCCACTTAACATGTTATATAATATTGCCTCTGACACATGCCTGAGTCTACAGCCTATACTGGATTTCTGTGGCTGATTCAAAAATCAATATATGATTTTTTTTAACCATCAAATAACAATACCAGCAATACCCCTAAGGGCCCAACTTCCACCTGGGTTGTGAAGGACACTCACTTTTAAAAATCCTATTTTTGTTTCTAAAGTGTGTAAAAAATTTATTTGATATCCTTATCTGAGTTGCATTCAATAGTTATCGTGTGTTCACAGCAAATAAGATTTATGAGCAGCTTTCCAAAGTTTCTTTTCCCCTGGAGTTTTGCCCCTTTGACTACATACAGATTGCCCTTTCTTATTGTTGGGAGGTTTTTGTGGCCGTATGTAGTCTGAGAGCACTGGAGGTAGTACTTTGGGCTGAAAAAAGTACTTCTATTCTTTGGATTTTCAAAAAAAAAGAAAAGTTGAAGTTGGTGAAGAACCTCTGACTTCAGCCCCCACCCTTCTGAAACAAAAAGGGCAAAACTAAGTTAATATAACCATTGTCAAAAACACAGCAAACACAGTTTAACAGAAGATTTTAAAGAATAAACCTCAACCGAAGGAAATGTAGTATCATCAATCAAGAAACAACACAAGTAGAACCAAATAAAGTACATTTTGAAAGATAAAGGAAGTCACTGAAGTAAGACAAATACTTAGATGAAGTGGTGTGTGGTGTGGGCAAGCCTGTATTATAAACATCAAATACAGGCTGCAAGTAATGATTATCTTCATTATTGATTAATCTGGTGATTATTGTCTCCATTAATTGATTACTTGTTTAGTTTATAGGCTACCTGTTAATATGCACATTTTCAATTTTCATACATGAAGCATGCGTCTTAAAAGGTTCCCAAGCTGAGGAGATTAACCTTTTTTTCTTTCTTTTTTTAAAACATGGTTTTAGGCTGTTGCTCTTTTAATTAATCTCGTTGCACCCTCTTCTTGTACAATGGTTTAATGGCACCTGACTGGATAATTAGCGCCACTGTTAATCCCGATGCTCCCAACTCCTGATATTCACATAACGGTAGTGGATGGAAACACACCGTAATTTGCAATGTCTTTCATAGATTTTCTTGAACTTCTGTTAAAATTTGTCCTACATTTTGATGGAAGTGTAACAACTGTTTCTTAATTACCTCAAACATATCTTTAGTATGTCTGTTCTGCATGTTCTTTTTACTTATTGGTTAACTCACATAATAGATCAATACCAATATATCCGTGATGAGCAAAAATCTGCCAATATCAGCCTGCTCATGTAGGCTTTCGGTCAGGTTCTTGTCTAAACATGAAACTTTAACTGCACATGCTCAGTCAGGGTACTTTTACTGAAAGCAGGTGCTACAGTGCATCACCATCCCATCCTTGGAGGTGTCACACACTCTATCTCTCATCCCCATCTTTCCTCTGTTTACCTAATAAACTCAGTTTATCTCTGTGGCATGTGTCCAGCCCAACTGCTGCCTCTCCAAAGACAACGAGGCCTGATAGCTGGGAAACAGGAGCGAGCCGGCTGCATAAAAAGGACTTATTATGATGATGAAATGTCCTACAAGACCCCAAACACCCTTTTAAAGAAATCTCTCCCTCCGATAAGGGGAGTCTAACCCTCGCCCCAGAGCTGCTGGGAGATGGGGTAGGGATCCTAACCTGATTGGATTGGCGGCTCGGCGGGGGCGCGTGTAACGAAATCAAATGGCCGTCAAGCTGCTGTCATGCATAATTAATTGGGCCTTCTACGACCAACTACACAAAAATCCATGGTCATTTGATTAGGGGGTTTTGGAGGACTCTCTAAAGTGCATCGCTGTCTGAGCTGCTTCCCTGCTTACCTCTCTATCTGTGAGGATAGTGTCAATGCGGCGTTTACCTGTGCATGTTTAACTTAAACATCCAACACTGACAAAATTTAAACTTTCATTAAGGTTCTTTTAAAACTTAAGCACAATTTGGTGTTATAACTACTTCATAAAGTCAATGTTTTGCTGAAGGTCACTACAATCTAAAGATGTAGACACCTAACAGTTCTCAGCAGGTGAAGTAAACGAAACACTGTCAGGATCAAAGTGGTGGACAGGCTGACATTGCGATGCCTGTCAGCTTTTCCAGATGTTTATTTAATTCTGTGATTTTACTTGAGTTGTATTTTAATTCTTTTACCCTAATGTAGTTAAATCTAGGCCAGTTTGCTTTGTCTTGCAATTTCAATTTGTTTTACCATTTACTCTTATTATTGTTAATGTGTTGCCTTATGTGAAGCATTCTGCAACTAGCTTTTTTTAATTAGATTTATTATTATTATTAAAATGATATGCCATGAAGCGATCACAAAGTCACAATGTGGGGTTCATATAAAAGCAGAAGTAAATACTAAATGTAAAGAATTATGATCATTAAAGTGTACAAACTTATATATAAATCAAAGAAGTTCCATTAGCCCAATCAAACTGCTTCTCTGCTGAGCCACATTAATACTGTGTGTGAATACTGCCACCTGCAGGACATTAGAGAAACTATAGAATAAAAAAAGCAAACCACAGCAGATGAGTCAAATCGCAGCAAGATTTTTATTCAAAAAAAAGCATATATTCAGGAATTATAGATGTGCAAATACACAAAGTGGGAAAACAATGTGCTTCAGTAGCTGCAATGTCAATATGCAAGTCATGTGCATACATGAAAATGTCTTCAGGGATGTGGTTTTTCATGGTTTAACGACACATCTCCCTTTTCATTTTAGGGAGGTTCCTGATTTTCTTTTTTTGTGGGCTGAGTCACATCCCTCATTGAAAGGTTTTAAAAGCATGACCTTATCACTGCTGAAAATGGAAGACAGCTCCCTCCAGGGTCTCTCACCATCTCCATGTCTCTTCACGATCGATGAAAGAAAAAAACACAACTTTCACTGCTGAAGCATTTAGTCCATTTACACAGCGTAATATTTACTTTCTAAGTGTTCATTTAGTCTCATACCCTCCTGCAGAACTCACATTGTATCTGCTCTTAAACTTCAGATGAGCCTGTTTTAAGTATCGGTCCGTTTGTTGGCAGCATGTCGATTTGTAGCCGACTGGCTGGGGTTGTACGGGGCGGTCTGGGATTTGTGGGGGTTTCAGGAAAATGGTTTTGGGATGAAAGGGGTATTTAGGACAGTAAGGATGGAGGTGGAAATCGTGATACCTCTGTAGAGTGGTACTTGCTGGCAGGAGGAAGAGGGGTATTTGAGAGGTAGGGCACATGGGTAGGAGCTGCCTAGTTAGCCGGGTGGGGCCGTCCCTCTGGGATGAGCGAGGTGAAGAAGGTGCTGATGAAGGACCACACGGTGGTAAGGAAGCTTGACTCAGGTAGAGCAGCAGCCTGTGCCTGGTCCTCAGGTGGTCCTCCACCTCCTTCCTCACCGCTGTCATCATCCTCCACCCCCTCATCCATTAGACGTTCCTAGGACACAGATGAGAGGAGACAGTCATGGTTAGAGACAGGAAATAGGGAAGACTTAAAGCTGTTTGGTGGAGACTTCCTATAGAACAAATTATTCATTTTTGTTGCTGATCTGCATGCAGGTAGACAATTATTAATTTATTTATTTTTTTTAACCTTTATTTAACCAGGTAGGCCGATTGAGAACAGATTCTCATTTGCAACGGCGACCTGGCCAAGAAAGTGTATACACGCAGAACAACATATAGTTACACATTGAATACACATAAATTACAAAACACGTAAAAAAATAAGGAGAATATTTTAAAGTGCAGTACCGTCTATGTACAATTAGTGCAGGTGCCGACCGTTGAAGGAGGTAGGTCAGATTGTATGCATAAATGGTATGGCAGCAATAAAAATCACGATATAGAAATACAAATAGATAGTCTATATATAAATAAAATGTACAGTACAGACATCTATTAACATTTTGTGCAAGTTGAGTTCTAATTACAGAAGTAGGTCAGATGGTGAGCAAAAACAACATTTAGTATTGGTGTGCAAAAACAATGCGTGAGGTGGAGGAGACCTAGCATGTACAGAGATCGGTCAAGAGTTCAGACAGACGTACTTTAAAGGCAGTAAGGGGGATGAGGGTCTCTGGCTTGAGGGGTTTTTGTAACTCATTCCAGGCGTTGGCAGCGGAGAACTGGAAGGAGTGGTGGCCAAATGTGGTATGGGCTTTTGGGGTGACCAGAGAGATGTACCTGCTTGAGCGCACGCTGTGGTTGGGTAATAATATAGAGGTGCTCTTGTTTTCCATTGACTTTACAGTGTCCCAGAACTTTCTAGAATTGTTGTGACAGGATGCAAATTTCTATTTGAAATAGCTGGCTTTTGTTTCCCTGACTTTTTGAGTGCAACGGTTCCTGGCTTCTCTAAAGAGTTGCATGTCGCGGGGGTTGTTTGAGACTAATGCAGTACGCCATAGGATGTTTTTTGTGCTGGTTGAGGGCAGTCAAGTCTGAAGTGAACCAAGGACTATATCTGTTCTTAGTTCTAAACTTTTTTATTGTTGGTTATTGTTTATTTAAAACAGAGAGGAAATCACTTTTAAAGAACAACCAGGCATCCTCTACTGATGGGATAAGGTTAATGTTCTCCCAAGATACTAGGGACAGATCTATTAGAAAGGCCTGTTCAGTGAACTGTTTCAGGCAGCGTTTAACAGTGATGAGGGGTGGTCCTTTGGCTGTGGATCCATTACGGACGCCGGCAGTTAGGCAGTGATCGCTGAGGTCCTGGTTGAAAACGGCAGAGGTGTATTTTGAGGGCAAGTTGGTCAAGATGATATCTATGAGAGTGCCTTTGTTCACAGGTTTGAGGGTGTACCTGGTAAGTTCAGTGATAATCTGAGTGAGGTTGAGGGCATCAAGCTTTGAAAGAAGGGAGGCTGAGATGTTAAACATATCCCAGTTTAAGTCTCCTAACAATAGAAACTCCGAGGATACATGGACAACATCAGTTCGCAAATGGTATCTAGGGCACTGCTCGGAGCTGCCACAGTGAGAGACTTATTTCTTGAAAGATGGATTTTTAAAAGTAGAAGTTCAAACTTTTGGGAATAGACCTGGACAGAATGACTGAGCTCTGTAAGCTATCTCTGCAATACATTGCAACCCCTCCCCCCTTTTCCATCTTGACGTAAGATTTTATAGTTGGATATAGATACTTTTTGGTGGACTTCCTAAGCCAAGATTCAGACACGGCCAGGATATCAGGGTTAGCTGAATGTGCGAGGGCGGTGAATGAATCAAATTTAGGGAGCAGACTACGAATATTAATGTGCAGGAAGACTTCACGGTTGCAGAAATCAACAAATGATAGCTCCTGGGGCATAGGTATAGCACTGGGGATTACAGGGCCTGGGTTTAGCTCCACATCCCCTGAGGAGTACAGGAGGAGTAAGGTTATGATATGGCTAAAGGCTATAAGAACAGGTCGCTTAGAGTGTTGGGTAAAGTGCACTTAGGAGTAGACTTTTGGGCATGATAAAAAAGATTCAGGGCTGTATGGCCAGCCGGGGATATGGTAGGATGGGTATTAAATGGGGGTAAACCTAGGTAGTGAGTAATGGTGAAAGAGTTAGCATCACTGGAGATGTTTGTTGGACTAGAGCAAGTTTGTGACATGGGGGGGGGGGGGGGGGGCAATGAGCTGCCTGTATTATATTAGTTTCTAATCTATAAAATTTGAATAAAAATACTAACTGACTTAAATTGAGCACAAACTAATTTAGAGTTTTTCTAAATGACTCAGAAGAAGTCACAACAAACAGCTAGCACATTGATGCAGATAAATAATTTTTATGGTAGGGTCTCAGTATTTTCTTCAGTTCTTGCACTGCAGTAATGGGAACTTCTGCCTAGATGAGAGCATGGCTCGCACAAATATGCACACATTATTTGTTACAGACAGTGCAGAGAGCTTAAGACAGAATAGCAAAGAGGCTGAGAGTCATTCTCCAACTCACCATTTCCTGTATGTCTTGGTGTCTCTCCGCTTCCTCCTGAGGAGCCCTGGCCCTGTCTTCTCCTCTAAGGTTCTGCTGCTCTGCTCTGAAGGGGAACCAACCAGCCTGATGCCTGTGGTGGTGGTGGTGGGGGGGGGGGGCGCGGGGTTGACACATACATAAGCATACTGTTAGACCTGGGTTTAAAGTTTGTATCTTTAAAATCTATGCATGCATAGACTAATTTTTCAAGAGGTACTCTGCTTACAAAAAAAATTATTCACATTGAAAGATTAGTGAAAACTGATCAACTCAGATTCAGCAAACTGCACTGAACACAGATTAAGGCAAGTATGAGAAATGTAAAAATGTGTTTCTGTAGAATACTTTTTCAGTGTCGTGCACTGACTCACAGGTAGACAAGCAGCATGGCGCCGATCACCATGACGAAGCGGCTAAAAGAGGAGTAGAAGTAAACAATGCTGAGCAGGACGCCGGCGCGGGACACTGTGTACAACCAGTCCAACCAGTCGCGGTTCAGCTCGTCATCGTTTAATACTGCCCCACCCTGTGCGTTCATCTGGATGTTGGGATTGGCAGGCTGGTTCTCTGGTAAAGGGTTGGGGTCCGGGTTGGGCCCCAGCGGGGGCTGCACGGCTTCGTTGGGCTGGGCAGGTTGATGGGGTGAGGCGGAGGGAGAGGAAGGAGGGGAGGCAGTGGGAGGCTGAGAGGCGGCTACTGCTGCTTGACTGAGGAGATGAAAAAAGGGAGGAAAAGGAGACAGAACAGGGGATTTATATATTTAGTAGGAAATACAATAACTCAATTATGGTTTATAGTTAGATAGAAGAAGGTACTAAGTCATATGAAAAAGTTAACAAGTTTGATTTTCTCTTAAACACCTTCAACCAGAGAGGTGCTTACTGGTAAAAATAAAAGAAATAAAAACTGAATACTGTCCAATTTACAAGACTAGTCTTCACGGAACAATGACTCCCTATTGCATACATATCCAATATTTTATTAATGTATTAGTATTATGTCCACAACTAAATATTTTTACAAAGAACTGTAATTCAACTCAAATTTTATCCTTGCAAGTAGCTGTAATTAGTAAAACCTATGTAGTCTAACATTCTCATTCACTCTCTCAGGGTAGTGTAGGTCCTCAACATTATTATAAATCATAATATGGCAGCAATTAGAAAAAGGTAAAATCCGCCATGACAATTTACAGACACATTTCTTTAACTCACTATTGCATGTAGTAGTGGCGTGCATACATCTGCTGCCACCACAGCATCTGCATGGGCATGTACATGGGGTGGGGGGGCATGTTGGCAGGGAGGCCTCCTTGTAAAGGGACCTGGGCTCCATCTGGCCTGAGGAAGAATATCACGTTTGTTATTAAATGTATTAACACTGAGCACAAACACAGTCAAATGACAACATTTTCTGTCTGGTTTTCTCTCTTGATTATCCATATTGGAAACGAACTATTTAATTAAAAAAAAATTCTTCTGTGTGTTTTAACTGGCTGCTTGTAAAGATAACAATCACAGACAGATTTTTAAAAGGTCTGACTTACTGCAGGACCGTTGTATTGAATTACATTAGATTATACAGCTCCTATAATGTTTCAATCTACATTTAAGAACTATGCTGTAAAAAGATTTGCTTTTCTTTTCGCCACCCATGTCTGGCCATTTTTTCCTGAGTGACGCGCATGGGGCTCTTAGTAAAAACAGTGAAAATGATCTGTACAGTCATATGGACCTCATACCAGCACCATTACATCTTTCCCTACAGTTTCAATGTATTTATCAGGAAAATATGTTACAGACATGGGATAAAAATGTATACATAAGCCAAACTCAATGTTGAAAAATAGGGCTGGCAGTAGCAGCACTGTCAGTGCGGACACCACATACGTGCGAGCCGAAGCAGTCCAGCGAGGCAGCCGTCACCCACAGGTAGAGTTATGCAGTGTGGCCAAAGCATGAAATGTTAATGAAAATGGAGTTCTATATCAGTTACATTGTGGCATCAAAGACTTGCTTACCACTGAGGGACACCAGAGAGGCTCTGAGGGTTGTACTGGGGGAAGCCGCCACGATACCTCAGGCCATCATAACTTCCCGGGACAGAAGTGGAGGAAGAGGCTGGCTGACTGTCCTGATTTTGTGTGGTGGCAGGGGCGGTGGAGCCTGCACTCTCTGAACTCTGAGTGACAAGAGGTAAACGTCAATCAGAAGTTGAGCTGACCACATTGCATTTTTTAAACAATTAAAATAAAGGTGTTCAGGCTAAATCCAAAGCCACTTTTAGAGGCAGTGTGACTGCATACAAAGCTAATGGGCAGATGATAATAAAACTTGAGGCAAAGATCCGTTTGCACAAACTGAAAAATCTTTTCTTATACAAAAACTTTATGACACCACTTCATGAATGTATGAAGGCAGGATGAAAAACGAGAGGTGTCAAGAATCTGAACGGTCACACACATACACAGTCACACCTTGGACAGTGTGTTGCTACCAAGCTAACTAGGGGTGCACTGATAGAACGTTTTCTCTCCTGATGCCAATTCTGTTGACTCAACTGAGGCTACTCACCAATACAGAGTACCAAGAAGTTCCTATGTGCTCGCTTATTCCCCAAATTAAAAATCAGTAACTACTGACACTGTGTATTGTATTGGGATAATTTGTATGTAAGCAAAAATGAGGCAAGGAATAGCTGTAGCAGGAACGTTACCAAGAGCAGAAACATTGAATTTTATTAATGACATTGACAAAGAAAATGTATTTAATTTGGATCAGTCACGTCATGACCAATACCTGATCCACTTAATATTGTCCGCCATGATACCAATCTGATGTATCAGATTGGTATCATTGCCCTACAGCTAACATCAGCACAGGTGTTTCAATGGTTTTGGTGAATAAGCACTCAAACAGTCAACATTGGGTAAATGTACTCAGGGAAAAATTCACTGCAGCGGTGCACATTAGCTGCATGCACTTAACGCAAAGCACTAAATCAAAAAAGTGGAAGTCATCATGGTTAACCAGCTCTCATAAATGTTTGACTAAGCATAAACCTTGCCATTTTGGTGTGCAAGCCTCAAATCCAGACAACAAAGCTGTCACACACGTTGTTTAAGCCCTTCTGTGAGAGTTGTGTATCGGTCTACTCACGCTGGAGTCAGAAGCAGAGGAGCTGGCCATGGAAGGGCTCCGAGGCATGGGCGAGGCTGGGGGGCTGTGAGAGGTACACACTAGATGCATCATGTGGTATTCATCTTGCTGCGGGTCGAAGAGGTCAGGGCACAAGCCGAAGATGTGGTAGGAAGAGAACAAAGAGGAGGAGGAGGAGATGAAAGTGGCAACAGAGCAAAAGAGACAAAACAAGAAACAGAGACAGAGAAGCAGAGAGAGAGAGAGAGAGAGAGGGGGGAAGGATTACTGTGGAAATGGCCAGAATTCAGACACAATGCTCACCCTTTGTTGGTAAAACACATCAGATGAGCTATTGTTTCCAAGGCAGCCTGTTTCAGTTCCCCCACAGCGCACAAACAGAGACATGCGCACAAGCTGTGTATGCTCAAACTAACTACCTGCCAAGTACACATGCAAACCCTTGACAATAAGGGTATATGAGGCTGTAGACTTTGCATAGTATGCTTTTCGAGGTGCAACAATTAGTCAATTAATTGATAGTAAAAGAAAGTTATTTGGCATCTATTTTAATAATTTAATTGATCGTTTTAGGATTTTTAAGTAAAAAGGCCAGAGATTTGCTGGTCCCAACTTCTCTTTTCTTTGTCAAAAATGATTTTAAACTGAATACTTTTGGGTTTTGGAAAACAATTAATCAAGAAAATTATCTGCACAGAGTTATGTATAGGCTTAAGCCATAGTCTTTAAAGTCTTTAAGTTAATCTAAGGAGGAAAAAAGTACAGAACACAAGCACTTGAAAGAAACATGTAGTTTGACAGCTGACTCTTGCCATCCCAATTTTATCAACATATTGACAAACTTTAGATGACTAATAAACAAGCATTCATGAGATAAGTCACAGAGCCTTTTTTGGAAATCTGTTTGGGTGGGTTGACAAACTAAATGTTATCGATGCAAAACATTGCCCATGCATTCACCTGTGTGCACTCCTACACAAAAAAACAGCACTGTAACTCTTACCTTTCTAAGCACATCTCTGAGCTGTAGGTGGTCCTGAAGGAGCCTTCCTGAGTACACCAGCCGCTGGTCTTTGGACAGCTACAACACAAACAGCATGGCTTGGTGGGACAAAGAAATGACCAGTGTACAGACAGTGTCAAGCAGTGTAAATGAGTTCATCCACACCTACAGCAACAGGCATTTATTTCACTGATTTAGCCACCTAACAATCTTTTCTTTACAGTCGGAGTGTGAGTGTGCTCTTCTTCCTCTATCTCCTTCTAATTCCCTTGTATTGATCGCACTTTTCAATTAATTCTTCCTTCTTCTTCCCCTAAGTATTTATCCCATTCATGCCGTGCGTGCGTAGCTCTTACTACTATTTATTGCAGCTCTTACTAGTATCTATTGTTACTCTTACATCTCTTGTGTAATTCGCTTTGGATAAAAGTGTAAATGTAACCATATAAGGGTGTCTTTGCCTCATAGGAAATACATGATCATAATGCCTGAAATCTTGTAGCTCTTCATTGGACATACTGTAAACAGCAACACTGGGTGGAACCATAGACTGCATATAAAAAGGGTGGAACTGATACTGCAAACCTGGACCTCACAGCTGAAATTAACCTCAAACATAAACAAATATTTCTTTCAACTGTTTCCAAGGTCAAGAATAAACTTCAGCTTTCAAGCCAACCTTGATTATAAGTCCTTAAAGTGCTCAGGTAAAATGGATTTTTTTTTTTTACATGACAACAACTTCATCATGTGCTGATGCAGATCATGTGGTGCGATCATAAGCACCAGAACAGCTACAAAATGGACCTTGTTGTTTTCTCAACTGCTGTCTTGAAGGGCAAGAATAAACGCTGAACCTCATCTGCAAATATGTTTTCAGGATACACACTAAGCTACCTTTTTTTCTTGACCAGCCTTCTGCAATCCCGCATACTGACACAGAGCAGAGACATCAGCCTTTTAAATACACAAACATTTTCTAGTAGGCTCTAATGTTTCTGTTTCCAGCTGTGAGAGGGGAAAGACCTTGTTGTTGTGTAATATGTTATAACATGAGATGTCAAATCCTTAATATGTGTCAAGTGATTGGCCACCTTTGGATTAAATTTGATTACTGGGCTGGACTGGATTTCAAATCTTACTAAAAGCATACGCAGTGTGTAAAATCATATTACCTGTGCTTCACGAGACGTTGGCCTCTCATGTCATTTTATAAAGAACACTGAAATTGACGACTGAAGTACAAGAATAACAGAAACTCAAAGGTCATTGCTGCATTCTCACCGAGAATACGAATAATTCTTTGTAATTATTTGTGCTACGCCTTCTCTTCTATCGGTTCATTCTACACACACAGACACAAGACATTGTCTTTTGTTTTTAGGGAGGAAGAGAAAATGTTTGACGGACATGCTTTTGTTGTTGCAACAGCTCAGCATTAGGCAGGTGAGTATTAAACCCAGAAAAGTACTTCTGATTGGGTTTGGTTTGGGAATTTCAGTCCTTCAACACAACCCCCATTTTAGCACATGTTGGGTATTACTATGGTTACACAGCTTTGCTTTTCCCTTTACACTCAGACACTAAGTATAAACAGAACGAAGGCAACAAAGAAGACTATTAAACATGAGAGCTACTTACCGGCTTGCTGGGGTACACGTTGGAGATGTGACTCTTCAGCCTCTCCACAGTCCAGTTGAGGAAGCAGTTAATAGTCTGGTCTTCATACTTCTGGTTGGGGGCTTTAATGACTAGGGTTACAGGACTATCAAGTACCCCAGAGTCCATGGCTCATATTATTAGCAGGGTGGGCTCTGAAGAATCTGAGCTCAGGAGAGCTTAGTTTAACTCAGGACTCACCTGAGGAGAAAGTTCCCCTAAATCCTCTCCATTCTGGCCTCAGCAACACAACTAAAACAGTCCCTGCTGTGGGTGGGGATGTGGTTCCCCCTCTACAACATCAGCCTCATTTGTCTGGGAGGTTGGTGGACTCCAACTATTTCGATGGGAAGTATTTCTGGTGAAAGAATAGGAAGAGTCTGAGTTTGCTGGTAAGGATGTTTTTCATTCACTGCAGAGGCTGGTGGATTTTCATCACATTAAAGCATATTATATCTAGCTGTATAGCTATTACTATTATTTGAACACCCATACACTTCAAATGCTTTACTTTAGCCATATGTATTATGGTTGAACTGACAAATAAGCATACACTCAGTTGCCATTCACTTTAGAGGCTATATTTTGTGGTGCTGTTAAATTGTAGTGTGTGTCTGAGAGGTGTTTCGAAAAATTTGTCCATCCCTTTCATATCAATAACACTAAATATTAGAGACACGTCTCAGTATTACATAATACACTTCAGTAGCACCACAAACCATAGCTTTAAAAATGATTATTAAATGGAATCAAAACCTCTCTAAAACTCATGATAACCTTCATCAAGGTGGACTTACTGCAGGGTTCTTGTTTTAGAGTGTATTAGTTTTGCTGTGTATGTACCTACTAAAATGGGAACTGAAAATTAACTTGTAAATTTAAACTATATGGCCAGTAAACAAACTTTCCAATTATAAATGATAAATATTTGGCTCTTGCCTGCTGTTGTTCACCTACTCTAGAGATATGTAAGTTTTGCATAGTAAAGCTAAAACATGTTCTGATAGCATAAGCAGATGATTTTATCAAAAAAGAAAGAAAGACAGAAACAAACAATGTGTTTGTCTCTCAAGACTTTCCATCTATTTGGCCTCTCGGCCCCACATTAATGTGTTCCTCATGAATACATAAATCCTTATAAACAAGTTAAAAATATGTACTTTTTAAAAAGGTTAAGTTAAAACGGCTCAGCACTGTAGTTTTTAACAAACATTACTCAAACAGGAGTAGTTTCTCCATTTGTTGGGTGATGATATTTTCAAGCATGGACACCTGTCACCCAGTACAACGGTGTGAGTCATTGATGTGTTTATAGTAGTTGTTGGACAACAGTGGAGCTTGATGCCACAGAGGAATAAACTACAGAGTATAAGTCATTGGCTTCACACACTATATTACTTGTCAGTAGGATCAATTCATTGTTGGTTTCAGTCTTTATATAGGTTGTATTGACAGTAAGTAAAACTAGAGAACATCACCACGCAGTCGATACAGTACACAGGCGTTATCTAGCTAATACATATCGTGTTTCTTCTGAATTTCGCAGGCAAAAGAAATGCAAATATCAAAACAGAAAGTACATGCAGCCAAGGTGTGCATCATGAGTTTTGATTTCACACTTCCCGACACCTGCCATGTTACGTCATCTTTACAGTAAACTGTCAAAACAACTGTAAATCCTCAAGCTAAGCCAGGGGACTATAGTGCGCTGCTTAGCAGTAAGAGTCTCATGCTCACGGACTAACAAATACACTCAGAAAACTAGTTTTATAAGGCAAGTCACTTCGAGCAGCCGTGATAATATTTTGACCCATGACCCATTTTGACTAATAAAGCCAGGTTAACAGCGTAAGCTTGCTGGCTAACGTTAGCTGCGCTGTTGCTTGCTAGAAAAGCAGTTGGCCCGGTAAACCAATTACAACGTGGCAACACATTTAACTGTCTAACAGTGTGAAGTGAAGCCAGGTTGCCGCCTCAGGGAGCTTCTTTTTGTACCTGTTCACTCTTGCGTTAGCGTCGTCTCTTCGTCCCAGCTCGGCTCGTCTGCCCTGTTGTTGTAATGTCGGGTGTGAGACCGGAAACACGTCATCGTCCTCTTCACAACAGCTGATCACGGGGAGAAAAAAGCTGCCAGAAAGACAGTCCGAGGACATTTAAACGGCGAGCTTTGCAGACTTAGTGCTTTAATTTGTAAAAGATAATATAACATGACTGTATTAACACTAAAATTAGTATTAGCCAGAGCAATGTAGCAAGTTATTTAGCGACGTGTTTGCTAGGAGACTCCTTAAAGGCAGTAAGGAGCGCTGAGTGTGATGATGTGCGCATTCATTTTGTTGTTCTCTGTAAAGGTGTTGCACCAACATTTGTGACCCATCAAATTCTGTGACCCAAGTAGACACTGCAAACGGTTTTGTCATGTCAAGAAACCTGTTAGACAAAAGGGTGCCTTTATAGAATATAGTTTATTTCTGTTTACCACTTCTATAATTGCTTTTGTATTACTGTAGGCCTATATTGTCTGCTACGTAGCAGAAGGAGTTACAAACTGAATTTTACTTCACAACCTGTTGTGTACCTTGTACAATAATCTAAAAATGATTACAATTTAATATTTATTTTATTAAATTATTACAGTTAGGCTATACCAATTTGTCATCCTTTCTGTATTTGTTGGGTTGCATTTTTTATTTGAAGTTATAAACGTCTGAAGGTTTATGTATGTATAAGTAACTGTATATTGTGTTCTCTTATATGTATTTCTATAATTCTATTTGTATAGGCTACATGTTCTGGTTGTGTACGTGAAGGGAGATACAACTTTCCTCACTGGGCAACCATCTGTTATAAAATGACAAATAAATTAACCTTGTTTACAGTTACACATTTTTGATTCTCTATAGGCTCACATTTTTTTCTTTTACAATCATCAAAAATTGCGCCCTTTTCTGTATGTTTGGGCTTCTGTACAGAAAATGTTTTGGACCCTATCTCTTTCTAGGGTCACATTATTTCTTTAGTTATCAAAAAAAATGTGACATTCTAAATAATGTAATAACTAAATAATCATTATTTCTACTGCCGAGCCATATATCTATATCTCTATCTATCTATCTATATCTATCTCTGTCGAGAGAGAGGTAGATAGCTCTCTCTCTCTCTCTCTCCCCCCCCCCCCCACACACACACACACATATAAATGTCTAAATATTGCTAAATGTCCATCAGACATTTCTCAGATCCCATCGTGACCTAAAACCTTAAAGCTGTTTTTTAAAACTTTTTTTTTTTGTCCGACCAACAGTCCAAAACTTAAAGATAGGCCTACTCAATATAGAATGGAAAATGCAAACAATAATAAATCTTCTCATTAGAGAAGCTAGAGCCAGTAATTACTCAGCTTTTTTTTGCTTTATAAATGATAAAGGACAATTAATCGTTGTCCATCAACTAATTGTTTCAGAACTAAAGCCATTAAGCAGATTTTAATTACTTTCCCACCAAAAGACTTATTTTCAATGATTTAATAGGGTGTAAAAATAATTTCAGTAGGTTTACACTCCAGTGATTCTTTCCGTTCTCACCATCATCCTTTTCAATTCACATGACATCCATTATCCATCAGAATGGTTTGATAATCATGCTTCACCGTACACAGATGAAGAAGGACTTGGGTGTTTGTTTGTGAGTAATTAATTTGTCCATATACAGATTTACAGATTCAAACTAGTCCTCTTCTAGCCACATACTCAGTTGTCTAGTTTGCTGTAGGTTTTGGTTCTGGTTACTTTTTCAGTCTGTGCAGAACCTCCTTGGTCAACTGTTTACTGTACCGGTTGATCTTCCAGTGTCCAGGCATCCATCCCAGCAGAAAACGATGAAAATCTGTCCAGGCAAATGCAAACATCTCTCTCCACTCTTTCTCTAGGGCAGCAAAGTCTACATCTTTTTTCACAGATAGCTTTAATTCTGTGAAATAGTAGTCCAGTAGCTTTGGTACCCTCTTTTCACACTCCTTCTCCTCCATGCAGCTTCCTAAAAAATACACGACATCTTTCATCCCACAGCCCGCCCCAACATACTGAAAGTCCACAGCCGCCACATCTTGACCACTCTGGGAAAAACAGAAGTTGGCTAACTTGGCGTCTCCGTGAACGATGGTCTTGAAGTGACATTCGTTGAGTATCCTGTCAATGTCGCCGGCTGCTGCTTTGACTTCAGCGTTGTCCATAGCCTCCAATTCATCTGGCCGAGTCTCCAGGTGCCAGTATGTACCGACAGGCCACAGGCCCTCTGGTGCCACACCCAGGAAGAGAGCATGGAAGTGGGCAAGCCAACTGAGGCAAGCCTTTATTTCTCTGTCCTTAACACTGGTCCTATAAAGAAAAAGAGATACCTTATTTCTATCATGTCTCACTCTGCTCCATGCTTTGAAAGACCTGGAAAACGTGTCATGACAAACATACAATATGTAGGATATTGAAAAAGAAAAGGTCAAAACAGAGTACTTTGATTCCTACACTTTTCACCAGGGCTGTAGCTGTCAGCAAGGACACTGAGAACATGTCCTCAGTATTGTTTTTGTAAATTTGGAAGTTTTAACAACCTGACAAAGAGTTTACATCCTGTAATTATACGTATATCACACACATAGTCAGTTTTGAAAACTGAGTTTGATAATTTTTAGTCTAACTATCTTTAAATTGTATTTTATTAAACCAAAAATGGATGTTCAATGAAGGCATTTTGTATTTCCCCATCAGAATTAAATCCTGGCAGTGTGAACAAGTGCAGGTGGGATGGCGACACATCCACCAATGTGTCCCTGAGCAAGACACTTAACACCTAGTTGCTCCAGAGGTGTGCGACCTCTGACATAAATCGTTAAAGTTGTTACTGTGATGTAGAGACAGAGCTCAGTTAAAACTTTATGAATGAAAAATACTTTTGTTACAGATTAATAACTCACCACTCTGAAACTCTTGCTCCAGTCCATGTTGCTAAGCTGGTATGGGGAATATACAGCTGGACCAAAGCTGTGTTAACCGGCTTTTCGCGACCCGCCCTACTCTGTTTTTGATTGGCTTGTAGTCCTTAACTAGGAACTGCGCATGTGCAACTCCCAACAAAGATCATGTAGAGACAAGATGCATCACTCCATAGCTAAAACGAAGCGTTCAACACACAGGGTAAAAAGAGGAGCTGCAGCAACTTGCAGTAAGACAAAAAATATGGTGTTTTTTAAAAATTAAACCATGTAAACCTGTTGTGGTACATCCCCTAAATAGGATTTTGAACCTGAAAATGAGCATAATACCACCTCTTTAATTCATTACCTTGTTTTGTCATATGTAAACTTTTTGATTTTTGTGCAAACAGTTACGGCAACATTGTTTAACTGAAACAGTCATGCCAATAAAGCACATTGAACTTGATTTTGATATAATTACACACATATGTGAATGAATAAAATGAAATGAAATATATATATATATATAACCTTGAAATCATATATATATATATATATATATATGATTTCAAGGTTTCACAGGCCTTTTGGTAGATTATCAAAAATTTTACTGGTGGATGATTGGGAGAATTTGGACCCATGACCCCTCAGTATTTCTGAAATGTTGGCCCTGCTGTTCACCTGATTTGAATGTGTTGCAGACAAAAATCTTCAAATTGTCTTTTTTCAGCACCAACAAAATGTTAAACTCATTTTAATGGAATTCTGATGCCCTAGACTTCACAGAGCTACAGACTAACCAGTATTTCATACAGATTTTTCTGCGGTCATACCTTCTCTGATCATAACCAGCCACATCCAGATCCTCCAGCACGATCAGCATCTCATCTCCATGGGAACAGGCAGCCAGGCAGGCCGGGATCCGACAGCTCTGATTGGTGGAATAGTTCTGATACCAGTGTGTCTCCACCTGGTAGGATCTCACTTTACGTCTGTGGGAGCGATCTGTGTTCCAGCCGCCAGGGTGCTCGGCCTCCTCTGGGAACTTGACGTGTTTGACGACCACAGAGGGCCGGTCGCAGCCCTGCAGGTGCAGCCTGACTATCTCCCCATAACCGCTCCACAGTGTCTGGATCTTTGCACCAACACGCAGAGATGAAGCACCACACGCCTGCAGGATGAGATCCTGGTGCTCCTGTTTCATTTCTCGTCAGAGCTGAATGATAGTTCAGTGTATGTTTAAGTATCTTTTAACATGGGAACAGGCAGTGCAATGTAACTGTACATTTACTCATTGAAGTACAAATCGAGGTGCGTCTACTTTACTTAAGTATTTCCATTTTATGCAACTTTATACTTCTACCCTACAATCTACTCCTTCTCACAGGACAACAATAGAATATGATGCATTGCTGTAGATGAAACTATCTAACAGTATATACAGCAATTAAAATTAGCACATCATTCAACATCTACACAAGTAAAATGCAACATACACATTAATACAGCTGTAATATTATTCAAACACATTATATATAACAGTAAAACACAGACATTGAGGGAATTTGACTGCACAATAGTACTTTTATTTTTGATACCTTTAGGTTAATTTTATTTATTATACTTAAAAACAGTACTTTTAATTAATGTTTTCAATACTGAACTTTTACTTGTACTGGAGTATTTTCACTGTCATGTATTGCTACTTCTTAGATCATCTTGTTGGTCACTATTTTATATTGTGTTACTTACCTTAATCACAAATGTTGAAGCTTCCTCATCCAGTGTAGGAATGTAACAATAACTGTGTCAAATATGTCAAAACACTTGGAACATAGAGAATACGCTTACAGTGCCCTTAGCTTCAAATGTGTCTCAATGGCCAGATATCAGGAAGCATTCTCCACAGCCTTCTGTGTGGTGTTAAAGCTACTGACATGAAACAAAGGAAGCCTAATAAAAACCACTGCCACCTGCTGGACTGGAGTCCATCAACAGATTTGGTCCCTCTGATTGTGTTTGGTTATTTTAATTAACAAAGAGAGACGTGCAGGGCCTGGACACATACATTTGTACAATCTAATGCAAGCTGTTGAAGGGGGACATGAACCAAAGACACTGTGTGGGGTGAAAGAGACAGGTGCATGCTAGACTGAAAACAATGGGTTTATCACCATCAGCAGTGGGAGCTGTGTCAAAATTTGTACTCCCTCTCAGAGTTATAACTCGGTCAATTCTGAACAATCTGACATGATACATGTCTGTGTGATGTCATTATCTCTGTGTCCATCTCAAACAATCGTCCATACATCTGCTTATCAATCAAAGATTTAGATGCTCTTCTCCAGAACTCCAGAACTTTATGACTGTGTAATGGATATGTTATTATACATTTATTTGTGAGAGTTTTACAGTAAGTACTTTCTATGCAGTTAGGAATTTTAGTGGCTCCCATCCTAGGGGCCAGGCTAGATAAATCTGTGGGGTCATAAATTATTAAAGGGAGAGGAAATAAAAATAAATTTTTGATACACAAATCATAAACAAATCGTTTTTAGACATGTCTAATTATTTTTTAGACTTTTCTCTAATCTGTGTGTTAAACATTGGCTAAATGTACATATTTGGGAAGTTTAGAGGGGAAATGTCTCTTTGGTGGGGCTGCTATTTACTCTTTGATATCATAAACATGACAAAGGCCCCCAACTAGACACTGCCTTTTCTAGGCTATATCTTAATCTGAAAAGTAACGTGTAACTTTAGCTTTCAAATAAATGTAGTGGAGTAAAAAGTACAGCATTTATTTCTGAAATGTAGTAAGAGTAGAAGTATAAAGTAGCCTAACATGTAAGTAAAGCACCTCAAAATTGTACTTAGGTGCAGTAATTGTGGAAATGTACATTTTTATAAGCTTAGCCTTCTCAATCATTGTTTATATTAAAGAATTATTGGAAATTTGACTCTTTAATTTCTTTATTGTGGCACGCAGACAGACACAGGTTATTATTCTGGATATAAATATACATAAGGAATGAACTCTGTCCATAAGGGGGACACCTTTTCTGACATGTGGTCCACTGAACTTCTCTATGAACTTTCTAGACTTCCGTGGAATTGATTCTTTCAGTGACAGCACGGGGGCGAGACCCGTTGTAACTGTGCAAATTTGAAAGTTTTGGGTTTAAGTAATTACTTGTACTGTTGTATCGTCTGCATATATATTTCAATATATCTCAGTTACACTATTTTGAAGAATCTGTTCGAGCTGCCGGTATATATTTTGAAGTATTCTTTCGCCGTGACTTACTCCCCCCCTGTTAACTGAACGCAGTGGTACAGTCCAAATGACAGCTCGACCTGAACTAGCCTCCAAACCTGAGCATCAGCAGGCTGTCAGAACCACGGAAAGCATAGTTTTAATCAAGAAGTGCTCGCTGTATTTGTGGTGTTATAGTCTAATTTCAAACTATTAATCACCAACATGTCTGCTCCTAAGAAGGGAAACTTGTCTTCAAGCGAAAAGGAATTGTTTGAGGTTATCACTGCAGGTAAGCCTCTTCAGCTAACGCTAATCCATCTAGAAACCTTACAGCTCTTCTTTGCTTGTATGATAAGTTACGTAAATAATATTACGAAATTATGTCAGCATAACACTTTTGCTGCTGCGTGACTGCCTTGTTAAATCATAGCAACTAACTTAAATGTGAGTTTGCATGCTAGGCTCATTTATTGCTAACGTTAGCTTACAGCTAATGATGTTTTAGTTACATGAGCAGCTTACTTGTGATAGCTTGCTGTCTTTTTATGCCCACCTCAGTGAACTCAACTTGCAGGACAAAATGCATGTTTTACGTTGTGTAGAGTATCTTTAGCAGTAACGTTGTTTATTATGTAACCATTAAATTATAACCGATACATTAATTCATGACAACTTATGTAAAAAAAAAAAAAAAAAAAAAAGAAGAAGTGAGCTTACTCCTGTAGATCTGCCAGTAAACTGCTAACGTTAGTAAAGATGGTGTTGTATTTATACTGCAATAATATTTAATTTTATACGCTTAGGAAATGTTCAAGAGGCCTCAAGGCTGCTGGGCTGTAAGGATGTTCGAGTCAACTGTTTGGATGAGGTAACAGAGCATTTCTTAGGAGTAAACTCTCAAAGCATTTGATGATTGCCTTTGATTTATCCTAATTCCCATGTCATGATGTTTTGCAATATTTGTAGTGTGTTTACTTTACATTTTAGTTGATTTATTTGCACATAAATTTACAAAAAATAATAAAGGATCAACAAAAGAGCTAGATGTGCTGGTGAGATTTAAAAAAACAAACCAAATGTAGATGGCAGCCAGGAGCAGACATAACTTGTATGGTTCTTGTTATAGCAATGATGCATCACTAAAACTGAGAGTTTTACAGTGGATTTGCCAGTCTTCCTAACTTATGTTGTATTATAACATATTTCATATTGGCCCTGCATCAAATGACCGGACTTTAAAAAAAAAGTTTGTCTTGTATTGGGAAAAACATTAGCTTGCATCTTTGACTTGAAGGTTATCATCAGTGCAAATGCATTAAATGTAAAAATGACACATTAGAGGGCACAAATTGAGGCTTGTCCTGCAAAGTATGTGTAGGTGCAGTTCAGGCCTGCAATCTGTTAGTTTTGTAGAAGGGAAAACATACTAAGGTCTTGAAGCAAAGCTCTTCCATGATTCAGTGACATATGTGAGGGACAAAAGGACTCATGAGTCACTACACTGAAGGGCTTTCGAGGAGGTCCTTAATGTCCTTCCTTCTGTCTGTCCCTCTTTCTTGTCCACCTCTCAAAATCAGGTGTTTGAGACGGATGTTCTTTTAATAGTCCAGTGCGTAATATTTAGGAGGATCTATTGACAGAAATGCAATATAATATACATAACTATGATTTCAGTGGTGTATAAAGACCTTGCATAATGAACAGTTATGTTTTTATTACCTTAGAATGAGCCATTTCTATTTAGATACACTGTGGGTCCTCTTACATGGAAGTTGCCACGTTGCGGCGCCATGTTTCTACAGTAGCCCAAACAGTAAAACTGCTCTACAGAGTGTGTTTCGCTACATGAAATATGTACAAAGAAGAAGAAGTCATATGGTTTGTTAGAAGAGAAGTGAAATTTGGACAAATGGATGACCACCCGTATTATTTAGCACAAGAGCTAACAGGGCGTATTGGCCACCTTAGTTTGTCCTTTGCGCTTGCAAAGGGAGGGTTGAGTGGGGGCTGAGCCGTTGTTTGCATTTGGCAAACCTTACCACTAGGTGCCACTTAAACTTACACACTGAACCTTTAAGTAATGGAAGCAGTATGAGTCTTTTCAGTACTTCAGTAGTTTCAGAACAGGAGGAAAAACATACCATCAAACTATGATGTAAAATGTGCTGTAAACATTGGCCTGGTTCGTTAGCAAACATATTGTACATTCCAGAAGATCTGCACATGGAGTTTAACTGCAGTTGTGATTTCTGTTTACACGCCGATAATCTTTGCATGTCCATTTAGCGTCATGCAGTCAATCACTAGAAAGCTGCCTATATAAATTGATAAGCCCTTATATTTTGTTGATGTAGAAGAAAAATAATGTCCAAACATTGAGAAAAGATTGGTGGGGGCAAACCCGAAGGAAAAATTAATAAACAAAATACAAGTGCATTTTAAAGTTAAATAAGTTTTCCTGTATGTGATATGTTATCAATACAGTGACAAAAGAACAGGCAAGGTGCAGTGCATGTAAAGATGAAACGACTAGTCAATTATTCAATTAGTGGATTGGCAGAAAAATAATTGGCATGTAATTTGATAATCCATCCATCGTCAATCGCTTATCCAGTATACAGGTTCGCGGGGGTATTTTGATAATCAGTTGTTTTATTTGATTTCACATTATTTGTCATTCTGTGGTTCCAGCTTTTCCAGTATGAGATATATTCTATCATATAAACATGTAAACTGATTAACTTTTGGACTGTTTGTCAGATAAAACAAGGTGTCTGAACATGCCACCTTTCGGCTGTAGTAAATATAAATATGTAAATATAGTTTTCACTATTATCTGAAATTTTATTGACAAAGTGATTAATTGATAATGGAAATAATAGTTGCATGTAAATCTGTTTAATCATAAAGGTCTTCATTAAGCCGACTGAATAGTTACACTTTACAGTACATATAATAACAGGTTTGATTATTATAACACAGACAAAGATAATGAAAAATCAGCAGTTTAAACTCTTTGTTATTATTATTATTATTATTGGGATATATAGTTGCCGATGTGTTTGGCACTGTAAAGTGTTTTTGACATTTATATTCAAAAATACTTTTATGTTTTGTAGTAACTTTTTTTTTTTTATATATAGTTTTTGCTGTGAATGTGTAATTGTATATGTAAATTAGGGCTGAAAAATTTTGGGGGAAAAAATAGAATTGCGATTTTTCTGCCAGATATTGCGATGATGATTCAATTTGCGATTATTAATAAAAAAAAAAAAGTTTAGCTAAAGTTCAATATTCACTGCCAGTCTATTTTTGACAGAAGACGCATCAAGCAACACAGAGCCGATGGACCAGGCAGGAAGTCAGCCACAGAACGGCAGAGAGAATCCGGTCGATTTTTCAAAATACAACACCCTGTGCAGATTCCGGATCGCAGTATCAACTATAAACACAGTTAAAACAGACAAAAAAGCAACAACTGAACAGATAAGCAAAATCTGAACAAGCCAGCAAAATCAGGCAGGCAAAACGCTCTTATTCTGAAATGCTCCATGTGGCTATGTAACGTTAGCCTGCAGACAGCTTAACGGGCTCACAGAGAGCTGTTATCCATAGTTGAAGCACACAAAATGACAAATTAACAACATGTCAACAGCGTGTAGGCTAAACGCTCCGCTGCTGAAACACTTGAGTGTGAGCTGATGCCGGACAAAACAGCGGCACAGCCGCTGCCTGTGTCAGTTCGAGTGGCGCCATGATCCCACATTTTCCTCTAGTGATGACCTAACCGTGTGTGTGACTCGGGAGGAACAGGTAGTCTCAGTGAGTGATTTGTTCATTTTCACGCATGCGTGAAGGATCTTGGACTGTTACGTTCACTCGTCACACGGCAGCAGCCTGGGCTCCGTCAGCACAGGAAACAGAATTGATTGACTCTCAACTGTGGGTCTGTTTGAGTCGTTCATTTGTCATGTGACCGCTCGGCGACAGGGCTGTGGTAAGCAGGCAGCACAGGAAACAGAGCTGATTAGTTCAAGACTCATAGCAACTGTGGGTCTCTAGGTCTGAGTCGTTTGTGGGGCAGGAATGAACGACTCGTTCATCGCTCACATGGGTCCTCCTCAGTCTTTCGTTCATTCTGCAGGCTGAGTTACTGCTAGCGCCAGAGAATGAGAGGCAGGTCGGCTGTCAGGTAACAGTCACTGGACTGACATTATATAGCTATTTTGTTTAATTATGTGACATTTTATAAAGCATACGTTATTACAGCGCAGTAATGTTGTGCTAAGTTATAGTTTTAACACAGCCGCACTGTAACTTTAGTCGTGCTAGTGTTTAACAGCTAGCAGGACTAACATTAACATTACTGCTAAAAGCTGATGAGAGTTGTTCTGGGTCCGCTCCACTTCAGAGCCCTGACACGGTTCTACTTGGAGCCGAATTATCTCAGAGGTCGTCTCCTCTCCAAAACAAACGGACCCGGTCATTAAAACATTAAAACTTACCACGTAGCAGCGTTAGCCATTTACAGAGCCAACGCTAACAGCTGATCCAGGTCCGCCAGAGAACGCAACTTTTTCTTTTTATTTACCAACGGAGCCGTGCTGTTGTTTCACAGCTCCTGACTGGTGAACAACCTGCAGTGTTTGAGAGTGAAGTGCTCCTGTGTGTTTCTCTGTCTGCAGAATCCGGACCTGATGTGGCCCATTCTGCGTCCAGACCTGCCTAACTGCTGCGTTTATATAATGTGTATTTCTTTGTTCCTCTCTCTGTGCTGGACTTCTTTTAAGAACTTGGTGGCTTGATCCAGATTGTTATTAAATTGGTTGAATTTTAGTGTGTTTATTCATATAGTGGATCAAGCTTATTACTTCTATATACGCAAATCTGATATTAATATTTTACTAATGGATAGGGACGATAGGCTACTGTATGAATGAGCACTTTAGAGATAATGTTAGTCATTATATACATAAGCCTTTATGTGGCTGGTCTGGTTGTATACTCGGGAAAGATTGTGAAAATGGAAGGATTTAGCCGGAATAGTGGTGATTGCATATAGACAACATATTTCTGTGGGTTTTACATGGTTTGAATTTGGTTGTGGGCCCAAGGGGTGAATTTGTGCATAATACTTGTGATTGAGTCAATTAAAGCGAACCATTCTGTGTTTGAGAACGGTGCTGTTTTTTAATCGCCCATTAGAGGGCTGCAGCACCGCAATAATCAGCCTAGTTCAAATGAACGAAAGGACTCAAAAAAAGATTAGTTCATTTTAATGAACGAGATTTGAAGATTCGAGTCTGTCAAAAGAGTCGAACTTGCCATCGCTATTTTCCTGTAGTTTCACGCTCTGATTGGTGAGTAGGACTGGAACAGGAGGCGCGTGGCGCTTGTGATTGGGTAGCAGGTCTGTCACACAAGGATGTCAACTGAATGAATCTGTAATTTGAATTTAATTTAAATGACTGTTTAAACCAGCTCAGATGCGCTGTTTAATTAACCTACACTTTAACTGCCGTCTTCACGATTAGCTAATCGCGTTCGTTCAAATCTCAATTTCAATTTGAAAATGATTAATCGTTCAGCCCTAATGTAAATCTTTGTAAATGTTTTTTGTCTTGTCCACAGTATGGGATGACCCCTCTGATGCACGCTGCTTATAAGGGGAAAGCGGACATGTGCAAGTTGCTGCTGCAACACGGAGCTGATGTGAATTGCAATGAACATGAGCATGGGTACACAGCGCTTATGTTTGCTGGTCTGTCAGGTATGAGATTAATGTAACAGGTGAAATATTTTAAATGTTGGGAGTTCATCATCACAGCGATGTGATTACAAGTCTGTTATTTTGGAAAGTCCTGTATTTGTTGTGACTCCTCTTCCTCTGTACCTTGTAGGTAAAACTGATATCACATGGATGATGTTAGACGCAGGGGCGGAAACAGATGTGGTCAACTCTGTCGGAAGGACCGCCGCTCAGATGTCCGCCTTTGTCGGTACGTCTGGATGTGACGTGCGCTCATTCAGACAACAGTCTAGTATTCTTAAGTCTTGTATCATCATACATACTAAGACGAGGGATCACACTCTTCTTTGTCTGTCAGGAAAATTAACCAAATGGATGCTTTTACCTTTGTTGGTCGAATAGTAGACAGGCTACAATTTACATGAACATAATTAGCGTATTTTGAATAGACTTTAGGCCAGAAACTGTACGGGTCTTTAAATTTATTTAGTTTAATTAAGCCCACTATTTGTTAGATCTGGTTTATTTGTCATTGCACAGTAGTTTAATCCTTACACCGTCAACTCTGTAATCATACAACTGTATTGGAAAAATATGCACAAATCTGAGTGAATAAACTGACCAACACATTTGGAAATAAGGTCTTGTTAGGTGAAAACCATTGGTTTCTCGGTTAGAATTTGTTTGCACTAACGCAAACTGTTATTCTAGTTTTGCACTTAAGAAGCATGTAACTTGCTCTGATTAAACATCGACATGTGACATTACACTCACGTTGAAATATAAACCGTCTTCTCTCTTCTCTCCTCAGGGCAACACGACTGTGTCACGGTGATTAACAACTTCTTCTCCCGTGCCAGACTGGATTACTACACCAAGCCCCAGGGTTTGGAGAAGGAACCCAAGCTGCCTCCCAAACTGGCCGGACCCCTCCACAAGGTCATCATGAGCACCAACCTGAACCCAGTCAAGGTAGGATGCCGCTGGACATCAAGCTCTCCACCCTCCCTAATCCAACCATCATTTGATGTCTCCTTGTACATTTCTGGGCAATATTAACTGTAGAGAAATATTCATCATCTGGATGAGTGTTGCTTAGTACCAGGCGATACTTTCACTGATTCTATTCGTTCATGTAATCAAAGAAGTAATCATGTGCTGCAGTGATTAGTTGGATTGGAAACCAGCATGCTCTTGGGCCTCTCGGGCCATGCACGAGAGCACAATATGACTGAGGTGCTATTTTTATCTTTGGTTTTTGTTGAGTCCGACAATGTTATAGGAGTGCTTTGCTGATGAGTACTGGAAAATCAAGGTACATCCATGATTAATAAAGAATCCTGTAAATCCAATATTGAGATGAGGTAGTCCTGATAATTCATGATGTCAACTATGGCCTCGTTAAACCAGAGATGTTAAAGAGATCTAGTACTTACTTCAGGAGAAACTGTGAGCAAAATCTATGAAAAAATCCAAGTCAATGTTCAAATTGCCCAAACATTTACATTGTAAGGCTTTCGAAAAAGGAGGCATCAAATCTGATCTGCTGCAAGTTTAAGAATGCTAATAAGCTTAATATTTTTGTTGAGATTTCATATATAAAGTATGACAATGCTAAATCATTTAGAATACAATTTTAAAAAAGTGGTTGTACTACACTGTCTTAGTAGGTTTCTGTTACAAATCTAACTTGATAAGTATCTCTGGTCTATTCCAGATGGTGATGCTGGTGAAGGAGAACCCCCTGCTGGCAGAGGTGGAGGCTCTGGAAAAATGCCGCAGGGTGATGGAGCTCATCTGTGAGAAGTGCATCAAGCAGCAGGACATGAACGAGGTGCTGGCCATGAAGATGCACTACATCAGCTGCGTGCTGGGAAAGTGTGCTTCCTTCCTCAAGGACCGCGAGGACAAGCTGGAAGGCCTCATCAAGAGGTGAATCCATACGTTTTTCCTTTTTTACCAACAGACCATATTGAGGTTTTTAAAAATACTGTTATAGTATCCATTTACAGAAATAAGACATAATTTGGTCAAATCTTTACCAAGAAAGTTATTTTCACAACTCATCAGTTACTGATGTATTTGTTGAGCTGCCCACATCAAACTGTTTGACTAATATTTCCTCACATATACCCTTCCTCTTGTGGGATAAATGCAAGCTTGCAGTCTAAGAAAAGTCTTCTCTTTACCAGTAATTGAAAATTACAAAATGAATTGTTTTGTCATTGTAACCAAGACAAATCTGATTGGACCTCTGTCTGTTCCTGCAAAGTTTCCTTAAGCTCTATTGACCATTGTAACGAGATGTGCATTTATATTATAAAAGTGCTCCTTTAAAATTTTTGATTTCCTTATTCCTTGTCCTGCAGTTTGCTGAAGGGTCGAGACAGCGATGGTTTTCCTGTGTACCAAGAGAAGTTTATCAGAGAGTGCATTCGCAAGTTTCCTTATTGTGACGCTACTCTGCTGCAGCAGCTGGTGCGGAGTATCGCCCCTGTCGATATTGTGAGTCTGGATGAAGGATAAAAACGGTTTAGAAATAATTATATCCAACAATGTGTTTAAACCCAATATTTTGCTGCTGTTACACAGTTTTGGGTATGTGAGTGTTTGATGACTTGCGTAAACCGAGAACTTGTCTCTTTTAGTGGATTTGTATAAGTGTCATCTAAATGGAACTTTCTGTGTTTTGTTGTGTGATGTCTAACTGTTTTTCTTCTGTCCCTTTCTTTCTTTCTTTCTTTTTTCTTCCCATCATCGCAGGGTAACGACCCCACAGCGCTGTCGGTGCTGACTCAGGCCATCACAGGTCAGGTTGGCTTCATGGACGCAGAGTTTTGTACGTCCTGTGGAGAGAAGGGAGCCGAGAAAAGATGTTCAATTTGTAAAATGGTGAGTGTCAAAACTGCAGTAATATCTATCTATATGTAGAACAATGTAGTCTTTTCTACTTGTGCAACAAGTTCATTGTTTTTAGAGTGCAACTTATCTGCAGTAAACACCCTTGTAAAACAATGACGATCTTCCAGAGCAAAAAATTTTTATTTTTTTTAACGTTGCATTTATTTTTTGCCTTTTATTAATGGAGTGAGAAGGTGAGGGAGAGAGAGATGCAACAAAAGGTCCCCAGACTTTGTGTTGGACCATATTTAACAAGCGTAGATTTATATTTTTATTGGTAATATGTTCATTAAAGGCTTTTATGTGGATGGAAAATTGTAAACTTTTTGCTTTCATTCAAATAGAAATGGTAAAATGCAAACTGTAAATTTAAATCTGGTAATTCTTCTCTCTTTTGTAAATGATAAATGAATGCCTTTTTAAATAGCTATTTCCCTCTCATTCACACGCGCACATAACGATGGCACCGAGCTACCATGCAAGCTGCTGACCATTGGGAGCAATTTGGGGTTTAGGCTCTCGTCCAAGGACACTTCCACATTTGGAAGGAGCTGTAGATGGAACTGCCAACCCTGTGATCAGTGGACCACCACAACTGCCCCATTGTTTGTGGCTTTCTTACAGTTACACGGACCCAGAGTTACAGCAGATTTATTATTGAGAATTTCTATCTCATGAAGGAGCGTTTCTATTTTACCCCGTGCAGCTTTTCCAGCATTTACTGTACTGGCTTAGCAGCACAGTCAACTCACAGACCAATGGCATGTGTTCCAGTCGTCCCATGTGATGCTGCTCAGCCTATCTGTGCATTCCAATAAGCATTGCGAGTCAAGTGCGCGAATGAGAAACACACAGGGAGAGAGGAGACGAAGAGAAAAGAGACGTCACATGGCTTTTAATCAAGAATGTGCAGATTCTTACATGTACATTCTTCCCACGGGCAGTTCAAAACCAGAATATCTCATAGATCTCCAGTACTAGCCAGAGCTCACGTTTCTCACTGAACAAGAGAAGTGGTAGCTATATAAGAGGGAATGAAAGAGAAGAGGAGGCATTAAAGCTGTTCATTTGTTAAGATGTGTTGAGTGTTTATCATAAAATTGGTTGAGACTAAACTTCAATCACTTCATGCTACACTTTTTATTTCATTGTTTTCTAAATTCAAGTTTTTAAGATGCACATAAAAAAAACTTTACTTTACTGAAATTCTGAATTTATTAAAAGAGTAGAGACTATTTATTATCCCTCCAGTTTGATATGAAAACTCACAGTTTACTAGAAACATACGTTGATACAGCTATACGTCATGGCACCGACTGGTCATGCAGTTAGTGGTTATGATATTCCGGACCTTTGCTTCGGGAAACGTTCTCCATCTGGAACGCTTTGAATTTTAATCGAATACCCCTGCACTAGGTGATCTACTGTGGCCAAGCCTGCCAAAAGATGCACTGGTTCACCCACAAGAAGGTTTGTAAGACGCTTCAAGAGCAGCGAGAGAAGCAGGAGGCAGAATCAGCCAAACTGAGGATGCAGCAGAGCAAAGGTACTTCATCGATCTATGAGACAAAATATGATGGAGAATAAAAGTCAACAGGGTTAACACTCGTTTCAAATACACAGATTACCATCCAAAGAGTGTTATATGGTAAGGGGTGATTTCTTCATAATAATAAAAGGCACAGAAAGACAAACAGCGTCTACAAGAAGGTCATTTAACTAGCAAATATCTGAAATTAATTTCAGACTCACTGCAAATTCACTTTACCCAGTGATGGATGAGAACATCCTTCAAATCGTAATTGTTACTGTTAGGAAATCTACTAGAAGAGCTTGCACATTGAGCAAAAATTTTTTATTGTCTTTTTTGGATTGTAAATATAAATTAATAATAAATAAATATGTTTTTTATCTTATTAGGAAAAAAATGGACATTTTCATTTTTCTTTTATGAAGTGTTATTAAAATAGGTAAAAATCTGATAAAAGAATATACCATAGTGAAAATACTGCAGTTTAACTATTTACTGAAAACATAAATGTGGGATGCATGAGGACATTAAATTAAAATCCGGGTGAAATTGTTTTAACAACCTTTAAATTGAAAACAGTGACCCATAAAAATCTATTGGAATGATGGTAAAGCCTGAGAGAGATAGAGATATAGATAGATATATATATATATATATATATATAGATATATATATATATATATTGTTTTTTTTAAAAGCTTTATGAAAGCTTCTTTATACAAGTCAAATGCCTTGATTACATTCAGTGTAAAAGCACAGTCAGACCTAACTATTATCACCTCTGTGTTTCAGAGGAAAGTGAAGCAGTGCAGGAGGCCACAGACTCCATGCAGGACCTCTCGGTGGAGACCAACAGTGAGGTCGCCTCCTCAGACTCCGCAGCAGAATCCTCAAACTCCACTTCGGTCCCAGCTACTGACAACTGAGGAACATCTGACAGTCAGCAGCCACCTCCTCCAGAACACATCGATTCATCACAGACAGAGAGCAGACTGGCAGTGAGACTGAAAGCCAGACAAGGACTGGTCCAGCAGGAGACTAGAACCCATATTTATTATCAAGCAGAGACTCTCAACAGACATGTGAAGAAGGTTTGTGCCACAGCTGTCATCATTTTGTCATTTTTATATTTTAATTTTTTCAGATGATAATGTCATATGATGTGAATGTGAACATTGCACAACCTGATGTGTTTGCGGTAGAGGTCACGGGGAGGACTTGTGTGTAAAGTAAAGAGCTAATGGTTCACATCAATGATGGAATGTAATTCTGCCTTAAGAACTTGTAGCAACCTGTGTGGGAAAGAAGTGACTGTCTAGCCAATCAGAGCTTTTGTTTGTTTGCAACTTTTTTTTTTTTTTTGGTACTGATAACCTCATGGCAGATTGAGTGGATAGCATGGCTGCACAATACTGACCAAAAATATATTTTTTTAAATATAAACAACATAAACATGAATTTATTTTTAGTGCATCGTGAAAGATTCATTCTCAGGATTTTCAGAACTATAACAAACGAAAGATGTTTCTCCCCCCAAAATGCAACATCACTGGTGTACACAGCACAAGAACACCATGTCCCGGACAAAACTTCTGTAGAATGGTTTTGATATTCTTTGATTTATTGTGCAGCCTGAATGGACAGAGACGAGTCAAACGAGACTTTGTGTCTGATAAACACTGATTTACAAAATGTCAAACACACTGACCTTAATCACGTTAAATCAACGGTTCTCAACTGGGAGAGCGTAGAGCCACTTCAGGGGGGTCGTGGATGTTGAGCAGACCTAAAGTCGTGTGAAGATGATTCATGTGGTGACATAAACAAACAAAAGTGCTCTGATGCTAGCAAGGCTCTTTTGCTAACCTGAATCTTGTTTACTTCAATCGTATACATTGTTAATGATCAATAAAAATCAAGTCCACTTTTGCTGGGGTGGGGGGGACATGAACCTTTTTGGGCATCTGAAGGGGGGCATGACAGAAAAAGTCTGAGAACCACTGCATTAAATAAAGACCAACTTCATCCAAGTGTCCATTAATGACTGAATTGATTTTTGGAGGAGATTTTCATATTTTATCAGTCTTCTCTTCATTTTTCTACATATTTCCAATCTTTATTATCTCTGAGTTAGTGTTATGATCTGTCACGGCTCCAAAAGCATCACAGAGGTTCCTGTTTATTCGGAACGTGTATAATTTAGTGCAGTCCAATACAGCATTTCTGCAACAAATCTTTGTGATGCCTGTAATGTTGATTTTCTGTGACTCTGCCCCCAAACCCGCCTCCCCCATAAGAATGGATTTTGTATCTCCTATTATTATTTGTTTTACTTGGAATCGGGGGATAATCATGCTCTTATTTTTGGAACTACAGTTTCCATAATTTGGTGGCTTTGGGGCATGAAACATGTGCTAACTAAGTTGCTATTAGCAGTTCCTGTTTGCAGTGTATCCATAGATATACAGACAACTATCGCAGGATTAGTTTGATACTGAAGAAAACTTAAAAACATGAGAATTCTCAGACAAACTCTGGAGTTATCAGGAGTATCTTTTTGTTCTATTTTTTCTTTGAATTTCAACAGATTTATTTATATTACATATACACATTACATATATATTTACATTCGAACCATTATTTACCTGTGTCAATACTCTCTTAGTTTTATCCTGAATTGTACAGCATTTTTGTAAAGTTTGTTTCAATATGAGCTCTATTAATTATCATTGATCATTCTTCTAATGTTTAATAATGACGACTTAGACATTGTTTGATACCGCGATGATAGTTTACATGTGATGGGCGCTGTAAATAGCCACAGCCGTGTGTAGTGTTCGCACATAATGACAGCTGTTCTGGGGCCTCATTTCCAGGATCACAACTGCGAATTATGAAACTTACTCTCTCAAATAATGAGATGAACAGTAGTACAAATTATGGTTAAACAGACGCTGCGTTCAATCACTCACTCTGGCAGATACGCGTGCATAGTTTAATATAGCGTTATCACATGTTCATTGTTGTAGAACTGTCAAGTGTCCTTTTCAATGTCAAATACAATCACATGAATTGAAGGCTATTCAAATATATTGTTCAGGGAAGCACATTTTCAGAAGGCTATGGCTCGGGGGCCAGACATTTTCCTAAGCTGCTATTCTCATTATGTAGATACACTTGCCACATTTTCAAATTTTTTATTTAGCTACATTGCAAAAGTAGCCTAATCATAAACTTAAAAAGAAAAGAAATAAACCTGCTTAATTTCATTTTCTTTCCAACACAAGCTGTGATGTGGCCCATATGAGACACATAATGACATATGAAACAAGTGTATTCTTAAACACATCGTGTCAGCCAGTTGGCATCTAGTTTGGTAAATTCTGACATCTCTTACCGAGCTACATCACAGCATTTCCTCTAAACATTCACAACCTTCTGTCTTGTTTTCTGTGTACTTCTCCATCTTCAATTAACTAATTCACCTATTTCAAACATACATCACCTGACATCCATTCAGTATTCTCCAGTTCCCTTTAACATTCATAAATCAGAAAACTATCGTAGATTCAGGTGTGTTAGGTGAAGAGCTGGCCACAGAGGTCTGGTAAGCTCACTTCTTTCTAACTCCACATCACCAGATTGTTTCCATTTTCAAACTTATCGTCTTCAGCCCCAACCGATGTTTGTCAGATTTCATGCAGCTCCGTCTGGAGTAACAAAATGCTTTGCACAACTTGTACAATCTGTAAACAGACTGAGGTGTAATATTGGTGGAGTTCCCCTTTTATCCACTGGAGTATTGAAAAACAGACATTCCCATCTGGTCATTGTGTCTGTAAAGAATTATCCATTGAATATTTACAAATGTTACCAAACTATTACCTATACTAAGAAATTTTATCTCTTTATGTGGTTTACCCCAGAGTAAGCTGGACAATAAAATGTGTTATAATGTGTTTTGACGGGACTATTTGCATAACATCCTCACTGCTTGTGGACTACGTTGCCCGTCTGCAGAAGGCCACAGTCTGGAGGACACGATGACGCTCCTGGTTGTGCATTTGGAAGGACCACCTCCTCTCCTTTGACTTCACCTCTAAAAACAGACCATACTGTAAATCTTAACAAATTTTAACAGATTAAATAAAAAAACAAATAAAAACCACACACAAGTAGTATTTTGAGACAAAATTTGACAGGCTTGATGTTTTACAGGTCAGAGAAGCACGCCCCTCTGAATGTCTATAGATCTTACCTTTTCCATCTAACACCTGGATAGAAGGCAAGCAGTGTATCACATGGTGGCGATACCCAGGTTCATGGGAGATGGGATTGAGGAAAAAAGCTGCAAAGACGCCCTCATATTTAAAAGATACAACACATTATAGACATAGATATATTCTGAGCCTGTGGGTATCAGTGGACTGTCTGTCTATTTATTAAGGGTATTGCAGGTGTGCCCTGACTGAGATTCGTCACTCACTAGCAGTTTGGAGCTGCTGTATCCTCCTGAGCTCGTGCATCGTGTCCTCCAGCCCTCTGATCTGGTTGTTGTGCAGAAAAATAAGTCGGAGGCAAGTCAGATGATTCAGAGTCCCTATGAGACCGGGAGGGATACATTCAGAGGGGATGTTGATCTCGATAGCCTTTTAAGGTTTATTTATCTAGGTCACATGTTGTTAACTCGTCTTCAACACTGGACTGTTTAGCATTCATTCAGCTGCACAAATTAATACCTGATATATTCAGTCAGTGAGCAGACTCACTGTGGTTTGAAGGAACATTAAGTGCGTCTTTCAACAAGTAGGGACTGCAAAGACATAAATATGGAAATGCCATAAAATAGAAATGTCCTCCCAAACGTACATTGAAAAGTGAGTCCAAAAAGTAAAGTGTAAAAACTAAAATCTATCTCATATCATACTGCCACAGGTCAGTAAAAACATACAGTACATTTTAACCCCTTTATAACTATATTTAAAGGTGTCTTATGATCAAGGTTAGAGAAGCATGACATTATTTTCCCTGCTGGTGTTTTTCAGGGATTCAAACCTCCCAGCCAGAGGCCCATTTATATTCGCCTTCTGCCACACTTTTCACACTATCTTCACATTCAGAGGAGAAATACAAATTCACCAGAAATAGACTTGATGTTGTTATTGTGGAGGTAAAGTTCAGTCAAGCAGCAGTTGAGGGAACGGCAGCTGAGCTCTCTGATCTGAAAGGATTAAAATACAAATAGATTAGTCCTCCTCTCAATTTTAAACTTCCAAAAACCATCCTGTTGCTGAAATACACCAAGCTTTACAGAAGCCTACCTTGTTGTTATTCAGCCTCAACTCCCTCAGAAAGCGAAATCTTGATAAGTCTGGGACACTGGTGAGTTTTCTGTTCAGCAACATAGAAAATGTTAATCTCTGTCTTAATTTGGTTTGTTTTAAATGCCAAAAGAAAAGTTTGTCTTACTTTGTGGCAAGGCTGAGTTGGCAAACATCAACGTCTCTCCTTATTCCACACCTCTGAAGAGAGTCCTTTATGTCCTGTATTTAGTGTGAGAGAAGAAGAAAATACAGATGAAAAGTAACAAATGACATTCATGTACCTTTGAAATCCAGGGTTTTAAAGTTTAAAGAGAAAGCTGTCTACCGTGGCCGCCTCCATTTTCTTGTCACCTTTGGATTTTCACAGCCACACCTGTTGCCTGGAAACTCCTGCTTAAAATCACAACAAACAAATAACTCTTCTCTTGAGTTTCAAATTTCTTTTTTATGTTGGTTTGTCCTTCATGCACGGATTGTGGTAGATTTGGGTATTTTTCTGTTAACTTTGGTGCAGATTACAGATTAAATATTTGCATCATTAATTTGCAAAGATCCAGCAGAGGGCAATGTTTCACCAAAATTGACAGGCAACAAGGTGGCGTAGTGTAGTTTTCAGGTTTGTTCACATTCTAGCTCCTAATAATGTGCAATGGAGGCCCCAAACATTTTCTCTTTCCATTCAAGTCAAACGGCTGATTTCCCTGATACGCACTTTTAACTACAGAAAGAAGTAGAATATCAGTAAAAACTGTTTTTGCAGTGATTCTCAGAAATGAATCTCCACACTTCCCGGCCCTCACTGTAATGTCCTCTTTCAACAGAGGTATTGTCATATAGCTGAAGCCTCCAGAGGTGGAAAATAACGTGATACATTTATTAATATTGTATTTACTGTAATTTGAGCTCCTGATTTGAATACATTGAATTTAGGAGACTTTCTACTTTTCTACATTTAAAAGGGAAACATTGTACTTTTTGTTGCTGGCCTGACTTTCTCCAAAATTTAAAAAAGTGCCTACCAATGCTTCACTAATAACCACATTGTATCTTGATTGTTTAATGGTGTACACAAACAAATCAATTAACAATTTGTGGTTTTAGAGGGCATTATGTACTGGAACAAATTCTTGATCAACCACAGTTTAGCCATACACAGCACATCTGTGCAGCAACTCTGGCTGTAGCACATAATTCCCTGTAAAACAACACATTTTTTACATTTCTGTTTGTGTGCAGATGGCAAATGATATACAATGGTCTATTTAAGCTTTACAAGTGCTGGTAGGTACTTTTGTTTTTTAAATTCAGACAATCCCAGGCTAGCTAGCTAGTTTCCCTTGCCAGTATTAATGCTAAGCTAGGCTATTTTACATTTACGAGTTTCTTGTGAGTTAAGCTTTGCCAGTTTACACTGCAGTAATATGAGTTTATACACTAACATAACACATCTGGCATATATCAAGTTTCTGGTATTTCATTTACATACATGCTAATGTCACGAATATGATATCCAGAATGATGTCTGTGCTCTTAATTTGTACAGCAGTCAGGAGGAGTATGATATAGGCCTATTTTCTTTTATAATGGTAGCCAGAGTGTGGCATGTGATTAAAAAAAGCTGTTCTGGGAATGTAAGGATGAGTGCTGCACACAAATTCACCTCTACTTAAGTCCGCACATAAGCATTCATGACATTGTGCCAATGGGTTTTCTACACCCCTGCTGTGCAAATCTTTGATTGTTTGTAAAAAGGGAACTCCATCAATAGCTCCATATAGTGCAAAGACATACATACATGCAAACACATTTCACAAAATGTTCACAACATATCACTGCTGTTGGTTAAAAAATGTTTATCTCTTAAATATCTGCTTTTCAGGAACTTTGAAAGCATAATGACTTAAAGAAATGATCTTATAGACATTTAGAGTTGTCTCTACACACTTCTACAACCTCTAGAGGCACATGTAAATATATAAAATTGAAAATTTACTATTATTTATTGGAGCATGGTGCTGCATTTCATTCTTGACCTTGGAATTAGTACATGTTACAAAATAACCTCAACAAAGTCCAAGCCTTTTTTTGGAGGTTTTTAGTAAGTGGTCTTTGTTAGCGAGTTGAAAAGATTCAGGTGTCATCATGTGACTCGCGTGGGGGGTGAGTTTGTAACCTATTGCTTCCGTTCAAAATATCTTTGCCACCAGATGTGATGAATAGCTTCAACAATTATGTCACATGAAGACACCCGAGCCAATTCTGTTTGCTAACGAAGACCATGCAATGTGCTGGGAAAAGCTCCTAAAAAGGCTTGTAAGTGACCTTTGAGTTGAGATTACTTTGTCATGCATACTGTAATTATGTTTGTATGTCCACCAGTACCATGCACATATGCAACCCACAAATTAAACAAAGCATTCAAAAGAACGATGAGTATCTTGATACTTAACAATACTACTAATAAAAGAACCACTGATTGTCATATAGGATCAATCTCAGGGAATAACATCCTCCTTCCATTGTTTGTCTTCCGTTGGGATCTTTTCCAAAATCTGTTGCCACGATGACCTTTCTTTCTTGGCTTTGTTCCAAGTGTTGTGCATTCCTTTTGTTCCCCTCCGGTCGCCCTCGACACACCTCACATTAGTGCATGTGGGCGCTTCCTGATCATGCACACACTCCCGCCATGCTGCTTGTCAATATGCTATTAACCCAGCTACCTTTCATTTCCCATGAGGGTTAGGGGCAACCGAATTCCTGCTGCTGAGTTTCACTGCTGCTACTTGTTTGCAGTGAGCTCTAAGCTTTCTGTTTCTTTACAGAGTGACAGCACAAAAGCTGGCGCCTATCATATTCACTTTTCTGCATTCATGTAACCCGGTCCCATAAGAAGCCCACAGGGGCGTCGAAGTGTAAATAGTCTTCTGAGAAGAGTTGGCCATGTTGCCCTTTATTTTCTCTCGGAAGTGGAGTGAATGAGCCTCTGGTGCCCCTGTTTGAGGATGAACAATAGAGAGAGGAAACAATAACAGAAGCTGAATGTAAAGTTTAATGACCCTGCTGAGGAGATTTTAACCAGAGCTGGGACAGAACAACTACATTTCAAGGATCTGGAACTTTTATTACTCCACATTTTTAGTTAAAATAATTCATGTCCCGTCCCAGTCCTAGATGAATGACTCCCGTTCCTGATTTTTAAAATGTTGAATGGTGATGAATAGTGAAATTGACTCCCTTCCTGCAGGAATCCCACAGGAATCACGTGACGCACAGGATTCACAAAACAAGTGTCAGCCTCTACTGTAGTTGCTCATTATTTTGGATGCTTAGAACCGTTCATTAAAGCCTTACTTCAAACAGCGATTGTCCAATGATAGTATAGCAACCGTTTTCGCCCTTTCCAAAAACATAGCAGCAAAAGTGTAAGGAATAGATTAAACAATGTGTTTGTCTCCTCCAACATAAGCTGCAATCATTTGCATGTCTGGCTAACTAGCTGACTACTGAATTTCCAAGGCCAGATATCATAAGTTATTACAATAGTTTATAGGCTCATGAGTTATATATAAAGCGTTATTCATTCATCTGCTTTCATAACCTTAATTTTCAAGCTTTCTGCAAAGTTTTGGAACCTGGCTGCTTGGATTTGCTCCCATTCAGCCACAAGAGTATTAATGAGGTCCGACACTGATGTTAGGTGACTGGGCCTAGTTCGCAATCGGTGTTCCAGCTCATCTCAAAGATGTTGGATGGGGTTGAGGTTTAGGGCTCTATCAAGTTCAGTAACAGGCGTGTACAACCTAAAGTACATTACGTAGGTCACATGACATTTGACACGTGGTTAACGTTGTGAATCAGTCGCAGTTTGGTTAGGTTTAGGCAACAGAACCACTTGGTTTGGTTCAGGGAAAGGTTCATGGTTTGGGTTAAAATAAGTAAATTCATGTGACCTAAGTCATCTACAAACTGTTGACTTAAAACACGTCACCTTTGACTTTCTTTTACATGGGACTTGAACCTCGGTCTCCTGAGTGAATGTCCTTAGTTTACTTAACTACTGTCCAAACCAAAAGTACACAAATAAGCTGACAGGTGTGTCCATGTAGTTTTGGCTATAGAGCATCACTAATTAATCTTTATTTCCTCTTTTCCTTCTTTTCTTCCCACTTCACCTCATTTAAATGATCCTTATTACTTCAATATATTTTCTGTCTTTTAATTCATCATCCCTTTTCCTTATTTATTTCCTTCCTATTTTTTAATTCTTCCTTTTGCCTCCTCTTCGTGCTTTATTTCTTCACTAGTTTCCTAAATTATTTATTTTCTTCCTGATCTGAAATTCTGAAAATAACCAAAATTGAAGTTATGACATTTTGCAAAAACACTTGTGCTGAAGTTGCAAACATATGTGTGCATTTTCCTAAACTCTGAGTACTTATAAGTACTTCCTCCATCACTGATTAAAACGATAACCTTTAACTCAGGAGAAGAAAGACACACCCAGGCCTACTTCGCACCCCATCCTGACAAAAAGGGACCAGTGCCCTAAAAAAGTGCTCCTGTGATAATAAAACCAAACAGGCAAGTGATTTGCGTATCAGCTTTCATTCTCATGACCATCAGCTAGTGTCTCTGCACGTCGCCCCTTTTCAAATCAGTAAGACAAGCCTGGATTGAATGTTTCCCACAAAAGTAATTATATCTCTTCTTGTTTTGTAAAGGGACACACAAAGACTCCAGTTAGTCTGGGCACTCGAATCATTAGACGTGTAACTGACAGGGACTGAGAGGTAGGCAGAGGGAGGATGGCATAGACAGACAGCAAATTACACACAGACAATATCAGCTTTCATTCTTGAATAAGAACCTGAGATAGGCAAGTCACAACGTGGAGAATATCCAATATGAGAAACTAAACAGGGTAAAACACAAGTTAGTGTTTTAAATCATCAGCTGTGTACACATGTATGATTAATGCGCCATCACTACTGAAGACAGTGGTGAATAATGAGCAACAGCGGACTGGATCAAGGTCAAACAATGTTTGCAATAATTTCTATGATTTATTGGACACACAGGACAAACAACAGATGCCAGAGACCTTTAGACTTTTAACTATTTCAGAGGAAACTCAGCAAAATTGCTCAGTAATTGATCAGAGATTTTCTGCCTCTGGTTTTCTGCTGGGCTGATTCGGGTCATTGACGTTAAGTAACATTATAATAAAATAAAATCCAACATGTCAGACATAGAACAGTAACGTCCAAGACCTATTTCTATCGTCCCTGGTGTTTTCACAGTCCAGCTACCTTTATTGAAATGGACACAGGCATTCAGTGT